AAAGAGGACACATTATCCCCCTTCTCCATCTTTTCAAACAGTCCCCTGTGGTCTAAATGAAACATCTGTGCTGTGCTTTGGTCAAAATATAACATGAATCAAGCACCAGAGGAGGTTTGTGACCCTGTATAAACCAGCTCTCTCAGAACGCTCCGTTTTGGTGTGTGTGTCTCTTTAAATGCAATGAGCCCCCCCCCCCCCCGAGTTTTCCTGGTAGACATTACTCCTCTGTGGAGAGAATAAAAATGGCGGACCTGTGCAAAAGTTTAGCTCTAGGCTGGGGGTGGAGTCCATGGGTGGAGATATCAGGGGAGGGGATTTTCTTTTTACCAGAATCCCACTGTGACATCACAAGGAGAGCACATTTAAAAAGGAGCATTTTTCTGTGTGTCCCCTTTCAGAATACTAGTTTCTCCTTGGTGAAAAACAAATCCAAAACCATTTTCTAACATATCTTTGGCCACTAAGGGTGGAATATATGAAGTGCTGTACACCAACAGGAAATATCGGCGATTTCCTGAGTGTATTTCTGAGTAATGTGCTGTTGAACTTCATACCCCTCAGTCCCAAACTCCTTTGTATTTGGATTCAGTCTGAGAGGAGGTTTCTACAAATGCCACAGTCTGCCTCACAGAGCAAGATGTTGGGTAAGCAGCATGTGGGTACTCAGGTCTTTCCATTTCCAAAGGTGATTCAACAAAACCATTCACAAAAACAGCCAACAACAACCAACACGTAAAATTAGAAAGCAATAGGACATTTATAATGAGACCCTCTTTTTTTATTTTCTTCACCATCACTGATGATAAGTCATCATGAATGTTAGCAGTGATTTCCAGCCCATGAATGCCCACCATGCAGTGAAGAAAGCTTTGAAAGAAAGTTCAAATAGCCCACATTTCTTTTCTCAGGTCTGGATGATGGGTACAATTACTTTCAAATTGCACTGGGAGTCTTTCAACAGATTCTTAAAAGTATACTCGTGCAACAGATTGAACCAATAGTCCCATCAGCACCAATGTGAGGCCAACTTCACAGAATGGCAAAAAAGGTTCATTGACTTGAACTCACGCACAGCGTCTTCTGACATCTCAAAGAGCTGTTCAAATTTACCCATTCATCCACATTCACACATCCTTGGACATTTGACTGCTGGAGTAGGGGATTGAACCACGACCTTGGTATGGTCGAGAGACGACCGACTCTACCTCTGGCCTACAGCTGCCTGTATAGTAAGAAGAAAGAAAAAGAAGAAACATTTTCCCTATTGTCATGAATATGTACAGTAAAATCATCAGTAAACCCACCTCTTTAACAAAGCCTTCTGCTTGTGCTTTTAGTTTCCTTAGTTGCTTAGTTGATGAAATTTTTTTTTTTCTATTTTTTTTTTTTTTCTGTAGCACTTTGAGATTTTTTTGCAAATATGTAAAGTGCGTTACAAATTCAATGTATTATTATTATTATTTATTAACTTCGGTTATAGCTCGCTTAGGACATGTAATTGCCCTACTGTCACTGATTAATTCTCTCAGCTAACATTCACTATCTAGCTCAAGTTAAGCAAACTGAATATATTTGAAATCATCAACACTTTTTTTCACGTCCATTTGTCCCCATCGTCCCTCACTGTCGTCTGTAATAAATATCTCTTCTCAAGTAAAGGAGGTACTTGTTATGGCTGTACAACAAGGGTTGCTAAGAGAGCCAGCTAGCTTTTTAATAAATCCTGGGTTGATATTTGGCAGAAACAAAAAGATAATTTAACGCTTTGACCTTCAAGTCGTATGAAATCTTATGTTCTACAAACTCCGTGGGGAAGCACCACGACTCGAGCATCTGTCTAGCTGACCTGTTGACTTATTCAATGAGTAAAGAGGCTACACATTTCCCGCTGATTCTAACTGACATTGTTAGGATGTAAACTAGTGAGTGGATGACTGGATACTTTCTGTTTTCATTGGAAACTGAAAGTGACTCTGAATGGCTGACTGCCTGCAGAAATGGACTGATGCTGAGTTTACCTGCTTTGGATGAGTGTAAGCATGATTTCTTGTTTGCTTGGCTTGTAATCTGTGAGGGATTGCATGTAATCCCACCAATCCCTAAAGCAGAAATCATGGCATCATCATTACAACGAGCATGCTCTGGAACATCTCTGATAATCCATCCAGCTTCCTGCTTGTGGTCTTAGGCATCAACAGTGGCTCTGTTTTTTTCTATATCTCACCGTGCTGTCTATGGTTCAAACATTCAAGGATACCAACAGAAGTGCAATGCCAAAGCATGCAGGCTGCGATCCAGAAATACACTTCAGACCTGAAGTGTTCAGTCGTTTGGCTCGTTCTTCATACTTTCTGCTGCCCAGTTTCTCAAAAATGTGTATTTCAGTGCAAACAGGACTGAAGGAATTACATTTTATCCTCGGCTCATTAGCCAATCAGTCATAATTAGCCTCTCTGAGGGGTGTGTAAGATGCCATGGGCTATGAGATCACACTTGCCCCTTCACAAAAAAACTTCTTGTTGATTCCTCTCCATCTGAAGCTCAGTGGTCATAATGAAGTGAATGTTCTCTATATGTTCTTTAAACAAATCTACACCTTGCATAAGGGATCCTGGTCAGTCGCAGCAGTTGGCTTTCTGTATCATAAATGAGTCTGCTCGAGGTCTCTGCCTGTCAAAAGGAAGTCTCCACTTGCCCCCCTTGCCAACTGCTTGCTCATGGTGGACTACAGTGTGCAGTCCAGATGGGCCTGAATGTGAAGTGTGATGAGACATCTTTTGCTGTGATTCAGCACCTTGTGATAAATCTCACTCTGTGTATCTTTTGATTCTCTGCTGTCCGTCTGTCTGAGCAGCCCGGCCCTCACTGATCAGTGCAGGCTGTTAAAGAGAACTGCTGATGAAATCTGAGCAAAATAGAGGGATGGAGTTTTTCCTCCAGTCTTCAACACAGTAAGCAGTTATGACAAATTAGACACTGTTTATTGTGGGCTGACTACAAGGAGGGATGTCCCTTATTATGCTGCTGATGACGATTTAAGTCATTTATCACAAATCAGCATTAAAGTGGTCTCTAACCACCATACAAACTACATCTATGAACTCCAGTGCAGTACTGCAAACATCAACATATTAATGTATGCTAACTGTGTGTGCACACACATCTTTTTACATTTTGTGCAAAAGGGCCGTGTGCAATAACACCAGCACTTTGACATGAGGAGACATAACCGCCTTTTGTATAAATGTACACTTCATGTTTGTTCTTGTGCATCACCAACCTGCAGGGAAATACTGATGGACTATTACTATATTTACTTTTCAATAATGTGCACTGTCCCTAGATTAAATAAATGAATATAAATACACACTTTTGAACTGATATGTATCAGCTATACCTGGATGTAAACCAGCACAGTGGGCAGACGGCATCTCGTAGCAGGCAGCAGTTTGCCAGAACTAGCATCTAGAAAATGGAGATTAAAGTTGTATGTGATGAGATGAGAGATGAGATTCAACTTTATTGTCATTACACATATACAAGTATAGAGTAACGAAATGAGGTTTGGCATCTCACCAGAAGTGCAAATAAGCAGAAAGTGCAAGAGTCTGTGCTATGTACAGTAATTGAGTGCAAGAGTCTGTGCTATGTACAGTAATTGCAAAATTTACAGATGTAGCCAGAAAAAGGGAATTATGAGGTAAATCTGGATGGCTGGATTGCTGTGTCACGGTTAAACATGACAATCAACGGGCGTAATGCATCCCTATTAGCATTCACCCTGACTCACAGAATACTTTAAACTTTTCAAAGATACCAAACATGTCAGATTGAATTACTCTCACAAGTCGAGGCACCCAACTTCAAAATATGTCCTTTTTTTTGTGACGGTGCAGCCTGCGCCTTTGGGCTCAAAACATGATGAAGCCCTGCCAGTGATGGTGCAACACGCAGACACCCATCAGACACAGATCAGACCCCGCTGTCTCCTGCAACTTTAGAGCCACTTCTTCCACTGCAAAGAGACCACGGTCCTTCTTCTGTTAGTATTAATGCGAAGCGTTTCTGTCTGCGCCGTGGTAGTACATTTCTCAATGAGTCTACAATGCATTTATTCTCCTCAAACACCAATTCCCCCTCGTGAAATACACTGAAGACTGCAAACAGAGACAGACAGACAGAGAGAGACATGAGCATAAATAGAACAATGTGTACTAATCCACACAGAGACAAGGAATGCAGTGTGTGTCCCTGTTTGTGTGTGTGTGTACAGTGGGGAGGGGGTATTATTGTATAACATCAGCCTATATATGCCTATAAAAAATCACAGTCTTCCTAAAACTGGTGTGCAGGCTCAGTCAGATCAGATCTGAAAACGCTTTACATAACAAGGCCTGGACTGATCTGGAGCTGCACCTGACTGCCTTTGAGAAAAAACACACACTGCTGTAGTAGAAATCACTGAAACAAGTGGACAGGATCACTAACATCACAGTCTGCAGGCCGACGAGGTCCTGTGAGAATATATATAGTGTAAACGTGTGAAATAGGCCACTACACACTCATGAATGGTTGCATGGCGCATGGATAATAAAGGAACATTTACGGAGTACTCTAGCCCAGTGGAATTTTTTTTTTTTTTCAGCAGGAGGGTGTACCATCCCGACTGCGGCACCACCATAACAAAGAACACGAATCCACGGAGCTCTGCATGGATGGCAGTGATCCCCCCCTTACACGCCCACTCCTCTCCTCCACCATCGTGATGGGAACCACCGGACACAAGCAATGCTTCCATTTCCAGTGCGCCATGTAAAGAAGCTAAATTTAGGCCCATATCCATGCCCGACCTAAATAACGCCATGAATATGACATGAGTTTCATCATTCATTCAGCAGCGCAACGAGATGATGGCGCAGGGGATACAGTAGACGCATAATCACGCGATGACAAGACATAAATGAGATATAAACCGGACGACAGGATGCTCTACTCACCGTTTCGAAGGGTCCCCGTTTGTCGCGCAGAGTGTGTCTGTGTGTGTATCTGTGTGTGTGTGTGACAGTCAGAGAGTGTGATGGTGAAAAGTCTCTCCACCTTTCACTGCTTGCAGAGCAGACTGGTGCCAGGACTCAGACACAAGCCACGCCCCCCTCCTCTTCCTCGACAAGCTCAGCCAATCAGGACACGGAAGAAAAAAAGGAATCTGCAGGCAGCAACAATACTACTGCTGCCTTCAGGTGCTGCGGTAAAAAAAAAAAAGATTTAGTGTTGCACTATGTGTGGACCTATGGTGTGGACACGTAAACAGGAATGACAGTGGAAACAGTGAGGCGTTCAAAGACACTCAAACGAAATAAGATACAATAATGATTTGAAAATAACAATAATTAACTCAAATCTATCAATAAAAAACATAGCCTATCCAACATATTTGGATGAACATAACCAACAACAGAATATCAACCTTTTAATAAAATAATTATGCCACCTTGCATCACGTATTCCTTTACTAAAGTTTTTTTATTTTTGACAACTTTATATTCAGGAAAGTAGCCTCAGTTTAGCCATTTGACCTGTGAGCAAGCGGCAACCTCCGGTGTTGAAAAATGAAACCAATGCAGAAGTGCAAAATCCTGCAGTTTGTCGAGTGTCCACTTGAGGCTGGCTCCAGGAACACAGGAAGTCACAAACACACCACAGGCAAAACAGCCTTTTTCACAGCATAAATAAACATGTTTACAGCCTGGTACAAAAAACAAATAGGTCTGATTAGTTATTGTCATCATGGACACTCACTGTACAGGGTTGTTTTTTTTTTTTTAAACGGCTCTCATTTGATTTTGAAAGCGATACAAGTTATCCATAGTGAGGCGTGTAGCTGACCTGATTGACAGGTGAGCGCGATGTAACGGTTCTTTAAGAGGCTTAAAACCCGCCTCAGCTCCAGCTCTCAGCCTGTCATTAGGTTGACTGAACGTTAGGCTGAGACAGGATTTCCAGCATGGTGACTGCTGCTGATGAGCCGACGTCACTCAGGCTTCATATATTAATATTTACAGTGTATACCTGTGAGGTGTCTTTTTCTCAAAGTGGACTAAGATGTATTTGTTCTCTTGACCAGTTGTGCACCAGGAATGTTTTTCTTTTCTGTTCTGGTCAACAACAACTACAAGACAACAATATATGTATTGTTAGCTATACAGTCTGTTGTGTCCCTTAAAGAAACATTACCAATGTCATATCTCAACAAATTAGCAGTTGACACCAACTTAGACAAGCTGGATGGTAATGTCACAATTGTCTCCCTACCTGCTAAATGAACTTTCTACTCTTATTACACAGCTCTTATAAATATCTGATTCTGATTGGCCAATTACGCATAGCAATGTTCTGCTTTCACTCGATAGATCAGCGTTGTTAGGGAAGAACAAAATGTCACTATTAAAGGACAATGGTTGATGGGGATGTGGATCTAATCACTGAATCTGGAGGACTAACTGTAAACATAACAATCCACAGAAAGAAGTCCGGTTAATTAGTCATTGGTTTATTTTCCATGGGAAGAGAAAAGGGACCAAAACAGCTCGTTTTGACAGAGAAATCTACAAAACTGAAGATAGCACATGAAGTAAACAGCTCACAGAATGCGGTATTAGGGATACTTTGTGTTTAAAAACTGCTGAATGTGGATTACAACTGGCTATTTGTTAAGTGAGAGACATAAATGTCGATGAAATAATTTTCAAATCAATATTTAGTTTTATTTCCTACTGAGCGTGATAATGTAGAGTCAGCATGTTGTTACCACAGAGGAACCCTGCAGGCTAACAAAAGATGTCTCCATGTTCTTCCTGTAGGTCAGAGGTCATCAACTACATTTGTTCAAGGGTCAGCTTCTTCTTTTTTTAGACTCTGTGGGGACCGGACTTTAAAACATGCTTGCACATAATCCTGAGAGCAGTCAAGCCTGATGTGAAGAAGTTGGTTTCACAGAGGAAGTTTAATTTCTCCCATTAAAGGCAGGGTTGGCAATTTCCTCCAGAAACACTTTTTATGATTCTGGTTGAAACTGTCTTTAGGTAATGACAGAAATTAATAACTCATGTTCTCTGAAAAAGGAACAAAGAAAATCCATCATCTGTATTAGTTTGTTAGTCTGTAAAAACTTTGACCAATGTCTGCCATGAGGTACCAATCTGATGAACCAATCACACACCTCCCTGTCTCCCTGCTCGCTCTCTACCCCATGTGTGCACTAGCCCACACTCAATGTGCGTCACCGATGACAGAGTTTATACTGTGAGTTTGTCATAAGCCGTTTTGAGTAATAAAATAGTTTTTTTTTTTAAACATGTATTTTGATAATTTTTTGTGTTTACTTACAGCTGAATGAGACATGAGCTGAGGTCCGTTTCTGGAGAAACGGCGCTCGTGCATGTAAATGAGGGGGCGTGGCTTTAGAGGGAGCACAGAGGGGAGGGGGTGCAGACGGAGCACGGAGGGAATGCTACTTTCAAAATCATGCTAGTTTTCTAAAATTACCAACCCTGCCTTCAACCTGATGCTACTATTTCAGCCTTGAAATTTTATTTTTAAGTTTTGGGGGACCGGATGTGGACCACCAATGATCACTGCTGTAGTGGTTCCATTACTACTACCTCTCACTCGTAGCCCACCAAGAGCAAAGAAAAGAGTTTGACAGGAGAACATAGTTCAACATTGAACTGTGGATGCTGCTAGCCCAATGAGTGAGTGACTGCTGGAGAGCCAGAGGTTTCAATAGGATTATCTGGGATTATGGCTCCCATTTGATTTGGTGGGTTTGTTTGTAATCTCCCAAATACCTAATACTGTCCACAGTAGAACACAAGCACAGAAACAATGTCAACAAAACACACATCACAATGAAACATGTCTAATTCAGAACACAGTGTTTCACTGATGTGTGTGTGTGTTGTACGGTTAATGATGTTGATCAAACTTCAATCAAAGAATTTATACACTGATAACAAGCGGTGACCTCTGATGCAGAAGAGCAAAACACTGCAGTTCCTTGAGTATCCTCTTTAGGTCCCATATCACAAAGATTATTTTTACAGCTGAAATAAAAATGTTAACAGCCTGGTTCAAAATTAGATTTGGTCTCAATAGCTAATTTATCCGTTTAGATTTTTATTAAACCTTCACAGTTATTTATTGATTGACATAATTCAGAGTGCAGCTGAGTTGATGACAACTGGAGCCATTGAAGCTGTTTGTCAAAAGGCTTAAGGTCCGCCTCATCTCCAACGCTTTCCAAAACTTCGATCCAAAGTTAGACATCACATTGCCAATATGGTGACAGCCATCGTTGGCTACTACTGGCCTCTTCGGTAAAGAATGGGTGACGTCAGTGAGATGTACATACATGACTGTTATTGAAACAGCAATTAGCCATCACTTTACCAAATGTAATTATTTTACCAAGTAAATGACCTTTAAAGCCAAGCGATAATACACTCAGCATATTGACTGAAAGGCAAAAGTTCCCACATAATGGATGAGCTACTGTTACAGGAATTATTATTCGTTCTTTATTCATAATTCATTGAAAGATTCTGCAGAGTGTGCAGATTAAAGGTCTGTAATTATCAATCAATCTTTATTTTTATAGGGACAATTCATAACAGATTTTACATCAAGACAGATATATACTGTTATCTTTATTATATACAATAATCATGAGTACAGCACTAAGAAGCATTTAGCAAATTTACAGTGGAGAGAAAAAACGTCTTTAAAGAGGTTTGAGATTGATTCATAGCTTCAACGCCAGTGATAATGGAAAGAAAGAAGCTTATTGCTGTAATACATACCTAACTGTTTTGCTTCAGTAAGATGTAGCAGGTGTGTTTACCTCACATTAGGTGGAAAACATGGGAACACTTGTGATCATATTACACACATATGGACCAACACTAATGCAAACCAACATGGGGATGTCACATCTTTCTTCATCAATCAATCAATCTTGATCTTTATAGTGCCATTTTAAAACAAATGTAATCTCATGACACACACAAAAAGAGCAGGTGAAATAACTTACTCTGTTATTATCTACAAAGACCCAACATTAATCATCATGAGCACTAAGCAACATTTAGCAAAGCTAGAGTGAGAAGAGAGACCTTCCTTTAAAGGCTTTATATGTGATTTTTCACACTTAAATGTAATATAAATCAAGTATATCCTCTGAAAATAACTCTGTGAGTCATGACTGTCTACAATGGGTGTAACACCCGAGTCCCACTGTCTGTGATGTTTTCAGAGTTTTCAGAGTCCTATCTTCACTTTGTTTACATTGCCAGGACGGCCGGTTGACTCCTCCCCTCGTGTATAAAAGTTGTTTAATTGAGGGACTAGAGAAAAGAAGAATAACATACTGTACTCACTGCTTAACTGTGTTTCTAGATCACGATCATTTCAGGTAAATTTACATGCAGTGTGAAGATACGAGCATAATAAAGATCACTAGCATTATCATGCTAACACAACAATGCAGTTCAAGGGCGACATCTGCTGGATCAAAAAATCGCATATAAAGTCTTTAAGAGGCAGAAACCTCTAACAGAACCAGACTCATGATGAACAGACATCTGCTGAAACTGTGTTGAGATTGAAAAGTGGGATAGAGGGAGATGTAGGAAGAAGGGGCGGCAGTAGCTCAGTCTGTAAGGACTTGGCTTGGGAACCGGAGGGTTACCTGTCCAAGTCTCGATGCGGACCGGACTATTGCAGAGTACTGGGGATGTGCCCTTGAGCAAGGCACCGAACCCTCAACAACTGTGCGCTCCCTGCATTGCAGTGTGTAGCAGCCCCCTCACGCTGACATTTCTCCACTAATGCATGTCCACAGGTCCTGTTTGTGCATGTGTATGTATTTTGGGCCTGTGTGTGTGAGAAGCATGTCTCTCAACAACAGGGTGTAAAACCAGAATTTCCCTCAGGGACTAATAAAGTATTTCAAATTAAAAAGAAAATTCAAAAGGATAGAGACAAACAGAGCAACAACAACAACAACAACCATCTCCACCAACGAGACAAACAACTCAGGAGCTCCCAGGAAGAAATGTGGTGAGTAGTTTACATGGTACATGAT